AACATTTTATACTCTCGCAAAGTCAAATAGTATACTCGTTTGAGATTTCTTTGTGGATTGACCGATATTTTCGGTAAAAAGTCAACTATAAGTACTGGTGTCCACATATCCAGTACCTAGGGGCTTGAACAGTTTTGATTCAATTTAGATAATTTTTTATCACAAAGTGGCATACTTTAAACGTAATATTCACGCAGAGTTTGACGCCGATATAATCATTGTTGCTTGTTTTGCATACTGGAAAGTGAAAAAGTCAGATGGAATTTAAAATGATTTTATATGCGAAAAAGGCGTGGTTGTAATCTGAGTTCGCCCATTTTCGTACTATAACATAGAAATATGAGAAGAATATTACCGAATTTGGTTGAAATCGGTTAAGCAGATCCCAAGATATGGGGTTTCACCTAAAAGTGGGCGGTGCCACGCCCACTGACTAATTTTTAAGGCGATTCCTATAAAATCATCTTATACCCTCCCAGAGATAAATTTTAATGTCTCTGGCTTGTTTAGTGCTTGATTTATCGCGCAGTACCGTTATATGGGGAGTGGGCGGGGTTGTCACCCGATTTCACCCATTTTCACACCGTCGATAGAGATGCTAAAAACATTTGTTCCTAGTGAATTTTGTTGTTATAGCTTCAGTAGTATAGGAGATATACACATTAAACTTATTAGGAGGCGGGACCACGCCCACTTAAAAAAAACTGCGGATGCGCCTCCCTAATGTGATCCTATATACAAAATAAGAGTCTTGTATCTTGTTGTGGAGCTTAGTTATAGCAATTTATTTGTTTTTGATTAATGACGATTTGTGGGCGTGGCAGTGGTCCGCATACTCCCGTCTGCAAACCGTCTTACGGTACCAAGAAATATGTGTACCAAGTTTCATAAAGATATCTCAATTTTTACTCAAGTTACAGCTTGTAAAGACGGACGGACGGACGGACAGACAGTCACCCGGATTTCAACTCGTCTCTTCATCCTGATCATTTAACCCTAGATACAAACAACCGTTAGGTGAACAAAACTATTATACTCTGTAGCAACAAGTTGCGAGAGTATAAAAAGACACGTATATGAGGGCACAGTTCGCGTGGCAACAGTATTTACCGGTGTAATTACGTAGACGCATGGCAACCCTGTCGACATACACGCACTTAAATCAAACATCATTGGCATCATAATAACTAATTAATAAAATTGATAATGCTAAGTAGCTGATTAAATAAGCTTATCGGCAATGGACAGGTGGAGGTCATAAGGCAGACTGCATGCAAAATAGTTTACATATAATTTTAAATTCGCCAGTTTATTGAATGAATTCACGAAACGTGGCTCGTATTTGATGCTTTCAGAAAGCACAAATACATGTGTATAATTACATTGCTGATTTGAAGCTGTTACTTGCTTAGAACGAAGTGTCTAGCAGCAGCGCCCACGAGCCGCTCAATCAATCAAACCTAAGAATGACACTCTCTTACGGCTGGCACGTTATGCCTCTTGGATATTTTTTTGTGAGGCGGAAGGCGGCAAGGCGTTTGTCGCCTCTGGAAACGCACTCGGTTTACATTTTGACAACACTTGACATGTCCTTGTGATCCCTGGATTCCATTTAATTTTGCATAATTTATTAAAATCGATTACGCTTGCCTGCGTGCGTGAGCGCTTTGGTGGCTAGCAAGCGGAGGCGTTTGGCCCACATCACACACGTTCACACATACAAACAAACACGAATGCAAAACGTACGCATGTTGCTGTGTGTACTCAAGATTGCTTCATGGCTGAATGAAATTTTGCATTCGGTTTGCATTACACTGCGTACCACCCGGCTAACCACCTCATAAACGCAAAATGGCATGAAAACGTCGCAATACGGCGCTGAAAAGGAAGCAAAAAGCATACATTTGTGTGAAACTGACGCTGCAAATGGGCGTTAAAGCTCAACGCGCTTCGGCTAGGCGCGCAAAAAATGTTTAAACACAAAACAAAGATGGGATATTACAGGATATTGTACAGTATCGCGTTTTTGTGCGCATTTGCGCCTGTCATTGATATGCATGAGCAGCGGCGGTCGCGGGCGCGGTGGCATTGGTGGCGGCATTCAGATGGCCTGTTGGCGGCTATTTTGTGCGTGGTAGATAAGTTTGCGTCGGAGTGTGTGTTCGTTCACTCTCTGCCGGCAGGCGGATGGACTTGACAGTGATTAACATTTTTTCTATTGAGCGGAAACGGAAATTTCACTTTGTGCTTTTGTTGCCGTTGTCATTTTAACCGTCTTTCGCGCAATAATTTTTTACATTTTACATTTCCTTTCTTCATACCACTGTTAGTTGTTGTAATTTTTCATGTTACAACATTTTTTTTTGTAAATGTAAATGAAGCTGCTCATTGGCATTGTCCACCCCTTTTGGGCGGCATTCCACACCCACTTCCCCTCTGGTTCCATTTTAATTTAGTCACTTTGGTGCTGCGAAAATGACAATGACGAGATAAGTAGGCGTTTGCCACACTTATTCAGTAACTGCTTTGTTTTCTGTTTTATCGCAATTTTTTTTAAAATATTTTTTACTTGTTCACTTGCATTTTTACAATACTTCTCCATTTTACGAGGTCTCGAGAGTCCATGGCTTTTTTATTATTTTTGTGGGTTTTGATTTCGTTTGTTTGCCAATGTATTTGCATTGTTTGTGTTCTGGTGTTTTCGCTAAGAAAACAAAAAGTACATCAAAAGGGTTTGGCCAGTTATGTAAATAGGCTGTCGAATTTTTATGCTAAACTGAATGAATCCTTTCTTCTTTCAACGAATATTCTGTGGTGAAAGTAATTGGATTCGGCCGAACGCCATTCGCCGGGCGCCAGGCACCCCTTTCGGGTGTAAATTTGCATATATTTTGGGGACCGATATATAGGGTTATATACATATATATAAAACAACAACAAAATATATGAATAAGCGCAGGGGAGAGTATGTTTATGCATGCTGCATTCTTTATTTGAATTTGTGTATTGAGAAGTGAAAGCGATTTTTAATACCGCCGAAATTGATGGCTCAAAAGGGTGTTTAAAAGTACGCGAAAATATTGAAAGGCACTTGAAATGAATGGCCGGCAATTCTTGATATTGACAGAGGATCCTCTGAACGTTTTATTACCGTAGCCGTTCCGATTAACAAAACATCGACGAAAAATGTGCAGCTATCAGCACAGGGTACAGGACAGGGTTGCCAGCAAATAAAAAAACACACTTAATAATAAATAATGACAAATAAATTGACTACTGACAGTTTGTCTCAATAACTTGATATATTTAAAGTTATTTAAACGGAAAAATTTCAAATAACTTTCGTCATAATCAAATAAGCTAATAACACTGATAAAAAAGCGGCAATCAAAATAAAAATTAGTTCAGCTGTTACATATAGAATCTGAATATTAGCTCACAAATGACACGACGCGTGGCAATTTGAACACAGTACTGTTCTTTTTTTTAGTTTAGAAAGCAATATCTTGCTCTCACACTGTAATATGTCCTTAACCCTGGCATAACTCTTAACCACGAAATGCGCTGGGCCGCTCCATTGCTGTTTTATAATAGTGTACAGTGCAAAGGTGGCAAATATGTGTATCGGCATACATTATACGAATGGCAGCAGTGTTGCAACGATTTCACATTCCATTGCCCAGCCAAATTCCGCTATTCCCATTTTGCATAGAGTCTAACATGGAAAATTCCATTCGGCATTCAAATGAGTGAAAGCAGTCAACATTAGTCCATCAAAAAGTCTGTGATATATGTATGGTAACGACCGACGCTTTGCTGCCTAACGTTCGCTTTGGTGTTGAGCACGAATTTTTGACGACTTCTGTCAAAACCTGCACGTACTGAGTCTCCAATGTACAGGTACGCCAATGTCGGCACTTGCTTGACAGAAGCCAATGGTATGTTTCGTGGTCACATTAACAGTTTCAGTAGCATCGCTTGTGCTGGTAACGACAAAAACGGCAGCGGCAATTGCGTCGAGTATAAACTGAAGCTGCAAGAAGCCAGTCAAAATCAGCTGCCAGCAAAAGCCGGCGATAACAGTATCGCTCGGTAGCCGAAAAACCGGACATCGCTCATTTAGGTGCGTGTGTATGCACTCTCCCTTGCAATATTTGCAATTTACATGTGTAATTTTTCGTGTCGACGAATGCCGTATGAATTCACATTCCACAACAGACGACAGGGGTTACTGTGGTCAGCGGTATGTTGCTTTGGTGGCGATGGAAAAGATGAGTCGACATCAGTAATGATAATAATGCTGGTAGCATGTCAGGCCAACACTTCAAAAACAACGACAGTTTAGTAGTCAAGTGACTGATGAGTTTTACTCGCACATTGCCTGCTTAATTCATGAGCGCTACAGCCAGAAATTCACTTACACACATACGCAGTAGTCTGCACGCTGCAATGCGATTCAAACAAACAATTCATGACTTGGTCATCGCTCATAAATAGCTGCTAGCAAGTAAACAACAACAACAATCAACTGCTATGCCACCAAAGTTGTAATGTCAACGCCTAGTGACCCCATGTTAGTTGGAATCGGGATGTAGGAGGCGTAGAGGACAAATTTGAATGACTAGTGTTGAGTTATTGGAAAATTTCATTGCATGCCATGTTGACCAAGCCTTCGAAATACGTTCCTCCAATGAGTCATTCGGGAGACACCGTTCATATAAGCCATACTGTAGCTACAGTGAAATACGGAATTGTATGCAGTCTAATATTATATATATAGAAGTATATAATACATAAAATTTATGTTAACTTCCGACTTTGAAACAGAAATTAAACATATTACGATCTTTGATATTCTTCATTTATCACGGAAAGATTTATGATAAATCATCAAAAATGCTTAGAAAATGTAAGCGAATCAGAGCTGCTCGATCATGAGAAATCACTAATAGATCTATGAAATATAGTATTAATTCGCGATAGTTGACTTTTCTTAATTCCCTGCTTATAAAAATGTTTCCCCGTGCGTCTTTAGTAATTGTGGAAAAACTCTAGAAGAGACAGATACTCTTAAGTCTTTCTAGAAGTAAAATAAGCGAAGTCCAAACATATATTTTGGTTTATTTAGGTAATAAAAAATATTTGGCTTTGGCTGACCTTATTTTTAACCATTTACAGCAATACAGCTATGTAGTATGTTTTCCTCGGTACAATTTCAGCTTACACTGTTTTTTGAAGATATTTTAAATTTAAATGATTTATATATTAAGTTCGGGAGGAACGTTGCTAACAAACCGAAGCCAATGCGATAATGAAATATCAGACAGTATTTCCACTTAATATATGCAAACATAATTCATAAAACCTCAATAGCTTAACTTTAGCGCTACACATACAAACATACTGACTATAGATTGACAAATTGATAAGTAATAACATTCATTCAATAGCATTCGGGCTTTTCACATAACTATTTAAATGTTTGGGAGGCCCGAGGCTGTCTTTATGAATGTCGGCTAGCCGAAAAGAAATATGTTAAGTAGTCCGTCGGCCTCGTGTGGTAAAGTATATAATTTATTCAAACTCAATTACGGTATTTTTTGTGGCTTGATTCAATATAAGTCATCCTCTCTGCATTGCTTTCTTACGCATTTTCTCTGCTCTTTCTCTTGCTGAAATTAAAATATTCATGATGGCAAATGAAAATGTTTATTTTTTACTTGCTTTGTGTGGCTTGTGAGTTTTGCGTCTGTGTGTGGGAGGGTAATTAGTGCGTGGGCGGAGGAAGCCAACCAGGTATTGGGACAGGGTTGCGGTGCCCTTTTTTTATTTTTTGAATAGGCCCTCAAAAGTTGCTAAAGCAAAATTAATTAAAGTTCCCCTTAAAATTCCATAACTAGCAAAAGTTTTATGTTAACGGCATATCGTTACTTAGCAATAAAAAATTGAAATTACCATAGCACACCAGCAGATAAAAGGCTTATGAATAATTCCATTTTGTGTGTAATATTCATTTCTGCTACGGAGTACGTTAAATTATCTCTTATTTACAATGTTTTCTCATATATTTGGAATTAATTATATGTGCCCAAATAAAGCATTGTTTAAGTAGAAGCTAATTTACATTTGATAAAATATTTTGGAGCGTAAGGGGTTAATCACCAGAAGTTCTCTTAATTTCGGTAAAAGTTGCTGCCAGTGCGGCTATGGGAGGAATTGAGTATACCCATGATTTCAACCCTGAATGAGAAAAAAAGATTATCAATCTGCAATGATGTTGCAATTGTATGAACTAGCGATAAGTGAAAAAAGTTGTTTGACAAAATGCCGATTGTTCGAAAAAAAAACGATTAAATTTTGGGATGAGGCTAGTTCATACTTGAGAGAGGTCTATAAAGAAGATTCTCTAAAAATTTCAAGTAAATCAGTCCAGTTGAACTCAAGAAATCGTGAGTATCGTATTGGAAAGTCTGGTCGGAGAAAAACGCATATAAAGTCTTTTGTTCGATTAGACCCAGTCGGAGTTTGGAGGCCGGGTCAGTAAAATGTCTATACCTCCGAAAATAATTTAAACTTTGAAAATATGAAAAAAAATCGATTTTTTGGAAATTCTACACTAGAATACACACTTAATGCGTTACAAAACATAATATTTTGCACGCATACATTGCAATTGACATTTTTGAAGTCAGCCATTCTTTCAATCTATGCACGTATATAATTCCTTTTCTTATCTCCTGGGAAGTTTTATAAATGGCAGACAAAATAAAAAAAGCGAAAATAAACTTAGAAAAACAAAATTTTCAATCTCAAATACCCCTTGAATGTACATATGAAACTATACAAAATATTGTATGTATTTTTTTATCCTCAGTTGTAAATTTTCAGACCATAAATTAAAATTATATGAAATTATTGGCTGTTAAGTTGGTATTTGGGACTACTACTATACTCTCATCTATATAAACAATAATTAGCTGTGATAGTATATGAATCTTAAAATACTAAGGAAATTCGGTACTAGAAAGAAAAAGCTTTCCCTTCCCTCCACTTTTAGATTATTTGGACGAATGCAGCTTTAAAATATGTTTAACAACAATATATACATATTATATATTCATTATTCCCTCTTAGAGATAGTAACTGCCAGATAACGGCTTCTCATTTTCAGCCTATTCCAATGGTTATATAAATTTTCAACTCTGATATATCAGTATCATGGTTTCAGTTAACGCAACAAAATTTGCAAATCACGTCATTAGAATATATAACGAACTACAAATAACTTTTTTTAATGATCGTGAATTAGCAAGACCTCACAGAACTGGACAATCATATCGAATATTAAAATGTTGGTGAATGGTTAACTAGCTCTCTTTAATGCTTTTACTAGTTGCCAATGCCCCAAAATTCCTTGCATATATGTATGTATGTATATGTTAATATGTAGTCGTGTTTGCAGTTGTTTTAGCTTTCAGAGTCACGGCATAATGCTGCTCCGCCCCTGTACTTAGTGCTCGAAGACCACGCGAAATTCACGATTGACAAATTGGCACTTACCGTGCTAATTACATATTGACGCTTTTGTGAGAGGTTTGCAGTTATAATTGCGTTTTGTAAGTTTCTTACCTTTTCACACGAATCTCGCGTTTGGGCCGAAGTATTTATAGCAACCTCCTACTGTTTGCTTTTGTACACTCTATAATTATCATTTAATTAATAAAAGGCACACAGCTGAAAACACCTTCAGTTGAAGTAAGCTTTAATTAAGTAAGTCTTCGTGTTTAAAAAAATGGCTTAGGGAATCACATACCTATTGGAAAAGTTTTATGGCGAAGCACAATTTTTGCAATTTTGCAAGTGTCGTATTGGCATTTTTTATTTGATCATTTGTTTGCGTTTAAAAAAGTAGGATTATCGAATGATATTTTTTCCTGACTAAATCTATTTCAAAACAGAAAATTTTAAATGCCATAAGGTACATATTTCTCAAGTTCTAGGGTAACTCAGTGTATACAAAAAAAAAAAAAAAGAAATAAAAAACAATAGTTATAACAGTAAATAGTACAGCTAATGCACCAACTTCACTGGTACATACATTTTAATCAGTCTATATGGTATGAGTGTAATTAATATGTCATATTCATTGTCGCCTCAGACGTGAATTAAACTGGATAATACAGGGTTCCTATGACATTTTGACAGTTTGGACAACTCAAAGACATTACAAATGATATACTTAAATTGAAAGGAAACTTCCACGAAGTATATAAAAACAAAGTAAGAAACAGATTTCGAGTCATCTCAGATATTGTTCTTGTTGTGAGTGAATGTCGTGAAAAAATATTGATTTGAGCTTAAGTATTCAAAAAATGCACTCCCGAAAGTCTCTTCTTAGTATATTGCTGTGGTTCGGTTTTCTGTCCAACCTTATTTGGGCACAAAAGGAGCTGAGACGTGACGAAACCGTAAGTGGAAACTTTTATTCGTGTGAGTGTATTATATTCAATGACTCGTATACTGTTCTAAGTAGTATCCACCTCCGGAGCTGCTGAAGGAGCTACGGCCTGTTCACGATTCCTGCGTTGCCAAGACGGGAGTAACAGAAGGTATTTAAGACAATATATTGCGGTTTCGCTTATATAATTTATTAACAAATTCAAAGATAGCTTTAGAAGCATTTTCATTATTTTTATGTCTTTTGGTTTTGCTCAGAGGCCATAAAGGAGTTCAGCGATGGGGATGTACACGAGGACGAGCTGTTGAAGTGTTACATGTATTGTGTGTTTGAAGAAACGGATGTCTTGCATGAGGACGGTGAAGTGCATTTGGAGAAGATACTGGACAAATTACCGGAATCGATGCACGATATAGCTTTACATATGGGCAAGAAGTGTTTGTATCCCAAGGGCGATAATAAATGTGAACGCGCGTTTTGGTTGCATCGCTGCTGGAAGGAATCAGATCCAAAGGTAATTCAGCTTACTAATTCTCAAACTAATTAAAATTTTACATTTAAATTAACTTCCAGCATTATTTTTTGATTTGAATATGGTGTATTAATGGTTTGAGCCCTGCTCTGTTCAAGGACATTCTTTGCAGATATTGGAAATTATCTAACATGAATATGCGTGTATAAATCAGTACTACATAAGCATTAGATTTTTTATAATAGATTTTTGTTTTTTATTGATTTTCAAATATAGCGTTAACGAACATTCCAAAAATTTATATTATTATTTTATGTTACTTAAATTATATATTTTTTAACTAGAAAATTGTATGCAATTTAGAGTGCATTTATTTCACAACTAGTAAGAAAGCGCTTAGTTCGGGTGTATCCGAACATTTTATACTATCACAACTTGCAAGTAGCAAAGCACTTCAAATGTTGGCAAAACTTTATACTAATGTAGGAGAATATTTGTCCTCATTTCATTTATTTTCAAGAAGAGGATGCACTGTGTTGATTGTGAATTTAATTAAGATACCATACATACTGACCGATAGATGCGGTATAAGGTCAGCCGGAAGTTCGAAAATATTTATACTGGGCATGTGGGGGCTAAGGGAAGTATTGACCCGATTTTAACTAAGTTAGACACAAGGAGATGCTGTCGTCATTAAAATATTCTCCCTGAATTTCAATTAGACCTCATAGATCGATCGACATGTTCATATTTGGTGCCTGGATCTTTGAAAAGTAATGCTCTGAGTTCGACAATTTTTGGTAATCAGGTGCTCCTCAAAAGCATTCTGATAACTTCCTTGATGTTTGATTTGTATACTGTAAAGTGAAAGAAACAGATGGAATTTAAAAATTTGTTACATATATGAAAAGTGAGCTTGGTTGTCATCCGATTTTGCCCATTTCACCCTTTATAGCTTCTAAGTTTTGCTTATATTGTACTTGTATATTTTACAACTTTTCTGCTATAAAATATTATGGTTATATATTTTAAATTTTGATGTGATATTACAAAATCCGTTCATTTTAAAGATGTAATTTGTCCTCATTATTATGAAATAAATACTTTCTGTGTCAAAAAGTTTCACAGTATCCTAAGTTTTTTAAAAAATTGTAATTCACAACGTAACTGCTATTTTACTATTAAAAATTATGTTCATAACAAAATAATATATGAAACAATCAATAAATTATATTTTATAAAACCAAGAAAAACATCTATCACAAACAAGTTCGTCTGTACCTTTAATCTCTATAAGCAATCCTGATTCTCCCACACATACATTGCATGCTTTACTATTATATATGTTATATTATATATATAATATATATATATATGCTTATGTAGCTAATGTAGATTGAAAAATGGCTTCAATGTATTCATTATCAGTGTACATGATGCCATTACCAGGTGCTGACGCCGTTTAGCTGGTGTCAGTGAGTTGGAAATTGTAAACGGGGAATTACAATTCGCAAATGCAAAATGTTTACGGAAATTTGATATGTAATTATACATAGGGATGCATTTATCATGTGTGTAGCTATATAGCAGCATATGTGTGCATAATAGTGTTTAATTTAACGCATCGATGGGCAGCATCAGTGTCAGTGATTATTCACAGTCAGCGATTGGCAGCGGAATTGGCAGTGGTGCAGTGGTGCAGCGGCTGCAACAGCCACGGTGGATGCTATATAATTAAGTGACTTCCCGAATAGCGAGTTACAGCTAATAATTGCAGCAAGCGGTTACATATATGAATACTCCGTTTGAATTGGTAATAGTCTGCGATCTCTCTAATGAGTTGATACACTTGGCGATGCCGAATTGTTACCGAATTAAAAAACTTGACATATCACGCCCCTGCTAATACTCATAGCTTTTTAATATTATATTATATGTATTTATTGTATTTTTGTAACACGGTTTGCTTGATTGTTGGATTATTTCAAAACGTGTTTTTTGTAATTTTATATATGAGAATAATATTAAGAAATATATGAATAAGAACCGAATCAACTGAAAATAACGCAAATATTAAATGCGGTTATTTTCATCAAAATGAACTTTCATTTGGAGCTTGTAATGACCCGAGGATTGCTGGTGCATACTTTGCTTTTCACAGAGCTCAATATAAAGAAGTGAGGGAGTTAATAGCGGAAGGCTACGGCGGTCAGTTTATTGGCTCAAGAATAGATTATCGGTCGCAAATACGATTTTCTTATAATCGTGGGCAGAGAACATACAATGGACACGTTACGAGTATAACAATAATATATAAAAATATATATAAAATATATAAATATATTATAATCGGGAAGCAGCACAATCAGTTAATAAATGTCAAATGAATTAAGTTTTTTTTTTTCAACAAAAATCTATTACCGAAATTTGTGCTCATATGCGTTTGTAAGCTTTTGTACAGCATTTGAAATACAAAAAGTATTACTGACACACAGTTATTTCATCGCAATCGATATGTTACTTATTAGTGACCTTGATGTTTTGAAATTGGCGCGAAATAGTCCACATAATATATTCAGTTAATCGCTTGCATTCCTTTTGACTGCTGTGTTTTGCTCTGGTTGCTTTGCTTTGGTTCATCTGTCACTGACTCCTACTAAATAATTAAAACCGCAATACAAGTTGGTTGATCTAAATGCATAAAACCCTTCAAAAGCGTGGTATTGAAAATTCAATTACGGGTTCGGCTGGTATTTTTATGCACGCCCACACAATAACACATGTTTAATTCATGCTAGATTCGTCGACTTCCCGCCTACTGCTGTGGATACACACGCACTAGCGCACGTATCTGGTGTAAGTACGTGTGTACGTGCGTTTCCACTTCGTACTGCTTCTCTTAATATGTGTTTTCCGCCGAAGCCTTAATAGAATGTGAATGCAGTTATTAACAGGCTCTCCACCCATTAGCGTGTCGTTGTCAGTCATTTGATGACAAATATTCGCATTTATTTGCTTTAATAGCTTAATTATTAAATGCCCTACTAATAGTATGTTGCAATGCAAAATGCCCAAATTAAGGCTTAAAGCTCATTTTAAATAAATATTTTATTTTAAGACAATGATGTCTTATAGGCCACTATAATGCGATTTTAAATTTCATAATGACTTTTTTTTTATATAATAGTACATTTTTACTAAATACAAATTTCTAAAGATTGATTGGTCTCTATATAGATCTTTTAAAGTTTTTTAGGTTTGCCATTGCTCAAGTGAAATAATTTATTTCTTGGATCAGTGGCGTTTCATTAATACTTTATTTGAAAATTTGTCAACAAACTCATATATCTCAGATATATTGTTCCCTTTCTAGCGAAGTGTACACGAACGAGTTTGAAAATAATTGGTTTTCGGAGAAAAAACCATGCCTTCTTATCCGCTCTTACTAACTGTAAATATAACTGAGCACATAAATACAATTTTTTCTTAGTATCAAATATTATTTGTATAAATTTATACAACTAATTATTGTCCATACTTTGAGCGACAATTTACATTGGAACTAAATAAAGTAATCTGTATCCATTTAAAAATTGCTAGGAGTAATAAATAAAATAGCAGTAAAACTTTATTTTTATTCGATAATTTACTAAAAGCATTTAATATTGGGCAAAAAAATGTTATTTTTTACCGTTCCGCATTGAGTTCGGAAGAAGCGCATATCCTTCCACTAATATTTATTGAGCTGCAGGCTGGCTTAGATTTTATAAGATATGTTTTCTATATGATTCAGAGAATGAGATTTCGCCAGCTTGTTTGTATTTTTGGATTATTATCTTGTTACAGAACCGAAAAGGTAATATCTTGCATAGTTAGCGCATAAATAATCTGGTTCCTTGTCAGTTTTATCCAATTTACCGGCCTACACAATTATATGAATATACTTACTTGGTCTCGTACAATGGCACAGAATCCTATATGCTGAAAGGATGCCATGTATGGTGTCCTGTATTGGGGTGAAATCTTAATGTGTATATGCTATATTCTTTATAAGCATTTTCTTTATTTTCCAACAAAAGTGTAGAACCATACTAGACTCACATAAATTACATGTTTCGCTATCAAACGCTTAAAAAGTTGCATGCAATGCTACAACAACAAAAGCTTCAAAGTGCAAAGCAAAAAGTGCATTCGACTGTGGAGAAATATGCAAAATATAAATAAAAGCCGCATAAATAAATGGATTCCCGTGTAAATAGTCAATTTTCGTAGCTAAGCAAATATAGATGTGCTGAATTTAATGCACATGCAAGGCAAACATTCCCACACACATACCCGAGTGTGCTCGAAAGCGAGGCCTGTATAAAAGTGACGACCGCAGAATAAAAAATTCAATTGCGCTTGTGGTTGTGAACGGTGAAAGAAACACTTAGCAAGTCGAAACAATTCCGAATTTATATAACCGTTTGTTGTTTTAGAGTAATTTTAGATTTTTTTTTTGTGACAAGACTTTAAAAAAATATTTCTGTTTAATTATTACCATGTTTAAACAGTTCGCCCATTTCGGTGTTTTTCTTCTCGCTTGAATGTGATTGACGTTGCCAGTGCGCTATTGTTGGGCATTGCTTTTGCGGCTATTGTTTGCGCTACTTCAATTACCACAACATAAATGTGTAACATTTGACGCAGCCTTTGTCCTTTGCATGTATTTTTGGAAATAGCAAATAAAATAATTACCGTTGTTATTGATTTCTATTTAAATTTCCGGCAACATTTGCTTTTAGCTGTACAACAATAACCAGTGCGCGCTGTGGGGGGCGGTCGCATTGTGTGGAAAGCAGTGTGGCTTTTTCGGCGGTTGCGCATGTGTGATTGTTGTCCATAATTTGACATCGAACGCTTGTGCATTCTGTAATATTTTCATTTCCCGTTAAAAACAACAAAACAATAAAAGCAAACAAGCAATACATAACAGTAAAACTGCTGAGAACGTAAATACACAAACAGCGGAGGGCAAATTTTATTTCTTTGAGACAACAAGCATTGCTGTGTTCTCAATTGACTGTGAAAACAAAGCAAAAATAACAAAAAAGGTCATGACCTAGTGCTCTTAAAAAATATGAGATATCGTGGGAATCTTTGTGAAGAACAGCTAATGTTGACAGTGTTTTTGTCTTATTTTATTTCTTTCATATTTTAGCGTGTTTAGAAAAAAAAGAAAAAATCAAATTTATGAAACTTTCGTCCTTTCATTTCAACCGACATACTCGTATCGCAAGAATATAACGAAACGTGAAATCTAACAACAACAAATTCAAACCGTGCTTAACAAATAGCCAGAGCGTACAGAAGTTTGAATAGAGAAACGCTACCAAAGCTTGCAGAGAACCTGTACGGAAACGGAACTAAAATGGCTTTGATTGGCATTTGGCGTTGCCAAGCGTTCCACGCATTTTTAATTGTCGCCCTGTCGTCATCGCTAACTCTGATGCACGTACAGGCACAGGAACCGCGACGTGACGACAAAGTAAGAAACATAAAACATTTGAAAAATATTTCAACATTTCTATGACCATTACATATTTTTATACTATTCCTTTTATATTGAAAAGTTTATGTGATATTTTTGGTAGTTGAAGCTAGGGCTTTAAACTTTTATCTGAATGAAAACATTTGCTTCATCGATTTATATATTTTGTAGTGGCCGCCACCAGCCGTCCTGAAAATGGCCAAAATATTCCACGATATATGCGTTGAGAAAACTGGGGTCACAGAGGGTGAGTTATATAGTATCATATGCAGCCATATCTAAGTCCTATAATTGAAATATTATATATTTTGATAAAATTTAAATATTTTCCAATAAAAGCAGCTTAAGACACATAATACATACGTCAATTCAAATTTTCAACCCTACGAAGCTGTAACTTGGATCTATTTTTCATAGCCCAAAAAATATAAAAATTATACGTTAACCCAATAACCATTATCATCTCTCTCCTTTCAGAGGCAATTAAGGAATTCAGTGATGGCCAAATACACGAAGACGAGGCGCTCAAGTGCTACATGAATTGCTTGTTCCATGAAATCGATGTGGTGGATGATAACGGCGATGTTCATCTGGAAACCCTCTTTAACACCGTACCGGGTACCGTACGGAACCAACTGATAAATATGGCAAAGGACTGTGAGCATCCAGAAGGTGACACGCTGTGCCACAAAGCATGGTGGTTCCATCAATGTTGGAAGAAGGCCGATCCAGTTGTATGTAGAACTGATACAAATAATTGTTTGTGTTTATTTAGTAATCATATTTTTCCTTTTAGCATTATTTCTTACCATAGAGCTTCAAATGCCTTTATGAGCGTATTGACGAAAAGATTTGCCGAAAAATGATTGCAAGGAATTAAATAACATTTTGTAGTTATTATGATTTTTTAGCGGAATTTTAGATTTATTAAAGCATTGCAGAAAATACCAAAGTCACATACAATTTTTAAAGGTTAAACATTAGGGTGGAGCAAAAAAAATTAAAGGAACACTTATCAAACATTTTTTACGAAATACAAATTTTAACTCGAAATTTTCTTTAAAAGTAAAAAAGCCTCTAGATGTTAAACATTTTTTTTTCCAAAAATTTTCTTGTTTTATAATCTACAAATTTTATCCTCAGGTTAAGTAAAAATAAAAATTTTTTTTCGCTCCACGCTATTAAAGAGTGAGTTATAATTTTGAGTTTATTGCATCAATGTGTTGAAACAAAGAAATACTTTTCACTCCTCTCGAGTTGATCTTATCAAGCGTGGAGCTCTGTATACTTCTAGCATGATCTGAACTTGTGAAACGAGAGACCAACCTGAGGACTATTGTAACTTGACCGACATTGTTAGTTGAGTATAATTTTTTAGGGATTTTATGAAATTAAATATTTAAGTTTTATGCACATAAAACAGGCGCGAGATTACCTAACTCAGAATTGCCGCCAAAATATATTTTTGTTGTGGCAGATTAAAAAAAAATGTATACATAGATTAGTGAAACCAGCACATATGCGCGAAAAATATGCCGGAAAATCAGTATTAGCCACGAATTTCGGCAAGAGAAGAGATATGTATGCCGACATTCGAATCGTAACTAAAGCATATCTTCGGCAGTCGCTTTAATGCCACAACTCGGCGGCCAACTAAATTTCAACAGACGCCCCATTTCGCTGCTGCCACATGCTGTGCACAAAAATTGTTGCTGCTGCCAAGCGGACATGGTTGTTGTTGCCGTTGTTGAAGTCGGTGTCGTGCATAGGATTTAGTCGCTTGTCGCTGCTGCACACAGTTGAAGCCGCCGCCTGCGACCGCATTTCAGCGCGCGTTTTACAAGCAAATGATTTATGCGTTGCCAACAAGCGATAATAATATGTTGCCACATTTTATTTTACTGCGTTTGCTGTGCGCTCGCTACAGTGTGTGCAATTCATATATACAAGTATATATCCCTTTTTTCGGTAAAATATTATTTTCGCTCCTTCTCATACATCTGCTATCTACCTCGCATTGACTTTTTAATATTTGCCATTTAGACGCTGTCGTAGTGGCAGCCTCGGCAATAACAATAACAATAAAAATATTTGCAAGATTGTTGACGTCGGCAGCGACAGCGCGGCCATTAGAACCCCACTAAGCGCACCAGCTGTGTTGGTCACCCCTACATTTTGGTACCGCTCCCTTTTAGTGTTGATACCCGCTGAGCCCCCCGTCAGCATACTAACAAATATGTAGATAAATGCGGAGGTTACATTCGTTTTGGGGGATTATTCAAAGGCGAAGAGCACAAAAATAGCTATTGCAAGCAAAAACTGAGTCGAGCCTTGTATTCTCGCCATATTTAGTTGAAATAAAATACCCAGATTATCTGCTTTGACGTTCAAAAATGACTGCTTTCAAATGTGTTATATCTTTTAATTCTTTATAAACAAAACATATATAAAATTTTTGTAAAAAGAGCATATACAATAGTATTTATTTTCTGAATTTAGTGGGTTTCATGCACATATGTTTGTATGTATCAACAAGCGGTTGATATATCTTACGCAACACCCTACCATAAACTTTATCGGTATGTACCGTATGTAGTTGGATGTCGCCCGTACGCTTGCGTTTCGGTTGTTCACACCTGAAATCCCTTCAGAAACGTTATGAACGCTGGTAATAAAATGTTGGTGGCGACATTAAAGTAAACCAGAAGCGACAAGCGAAAAAGCAGCTAATGCATCCACAAATTGCTACAACAACACTAACTTTATAATGGGGTAGCAGCATGTGAGTAAAAGTGTTGGCAACAAAAACAGTGGAAAACTGCAGTCATTCGCAAAAATATATATGGCGACACATCCATACATATATACAAAATAATATAGCAACAACTTAGCCAGCAACAACAACCAGCAACCTGCAACCAGCTGTAGCTTTGGCATAAATTGTAATAACATTTTTCATTTTGCGGTTTTAGATTGAAGCTACAACTTTTTGTTTTTGCTATTTTTTGTTATAAATTTTTAGATATTTATACTCGCGTACATATGTACATATGTGCTGGCACTAAATAGCTGCTCGGAACGCAAATTAATACCCAAGAAAGAATTTCTCCAGAACTTGCACTATCCACCTTTATTTCTTCCACATGCTGTCCTCAATTCGCTCTCGCTCTTTTTTCTGATGTTTAAAGAACCGCGAGTTGTGAGTTCTGCTTAATCAGTAATTAAATAGAAATATATATATAAGAAAATATTATTTTTTTTGAAAAACATTTACGTAACTCAATAATTCAATTATTAGCAGCTTACAAGCTATTTTTGTTTCATACCGTCCTTGCGTATGAGTATTGTTGGTATACGAGTATGTGTATTGAATTTAGTTTGATGAATAAAAGACACAGTAACTATGAACTACAATATATATTTTCTTATATATCTAAATTTTGCAAATAGTGACGAATCTTTAGTAGTCTGCATAACCACAAATTCAGTTTTTAATTTAAAACCATCAATGCATACGAAGTTTAATTTTAGTTATATTACGAATGGGTTCTCGCCCAACCAATCATTTTTAAGTGATTACTTTTTTTGACAGAATGCTTTCTATCTTTCTAACATAATAATAACAAAAAGTCATTTTAATTCATCTTTCAATTTGTTTTTCGGTTGTTTTGTTTGTTGTTGCAACTAATCAACTTAAGATATAATAAACAGCGCTGTCCGCAGTTTTTAAGCTTACAAAGTCAAACTCATAAAAAATCCCATCATGAAAAAATTACAAATATTAAAAACAAAGTAAGGAAGCGCTAAGTTCGGGTGTAACCGAAAACTTCATACTTTTGCAACTTGCAAGGGTGAAAGCCGGCTAGATACCTTCCTGTGTTGGTGATATTAAAAAATGTAGTGAAAGCGTTCAACTTCATATTAACTTAGTTTTATTACTATATTTTATTTCCCATTCACGAAAATTATACTAAAATCATTAGGAACTGAGCTATGAAAGCGCTGATTGCAATAATTTTTGACATTTATGGAGTAAAGTCAGACGGACGTTTCAAAATCATGAATATCAGTTTTGTGGGGGACAAGAAAAGGTTTCTACCAATTTTATTCATTTTAGGAAAAAAGATACACTGTTATTAGAAAAACACGCTCTCTAAATTTCATTAAGATAACTCCCTCGTTGGCCAATACATGTGGCATAAGTTCAACTGGAAGTTTGAAAATCTTTGTTAGCTACATATATGGGCTAAGTAAGTATTGACTCAATTCAACCTATTTTTGATATTCGGGCATACTCTTATCAGGAAAGGATTCTCTCCGAAATTCAATTATATATCTCGCGCATTAATCGATGTTTCGGTAAAAAGTCAGCGATAGGTACCCCATACCGGACAAACGAACAGACAGACAGTCACTCGGATTTCTACTCGTCTCATCATCCTGATCATTTATATACATATATATATAACCAAATATCTAACTCAATTGCTATGAAGTGATACAAACAAATTTTGGGTGAACAAAACTATTATACGCTGTAGCAACATGTTGCTAGAGTATAGGAGTATAAAAATGAGAAAAGCAAATTTATTAAAAATTCGAAATATGGAAAGTGCTATAACTGTCAATGCAAAATACAATAACAGCAAGTTCTTAATTAAGTTAAGAATATCAGCAAGCACAAGACAAGAGACCAAAGGACAAACAGAGCGACCCTTAGGCGCACAATGCAGCACGTTGCGCCGAGGGACATGCCACGAGGGCGAAAGCAAATAAAATATATTATATTGACATGGCAGTGATGTTGCTATTTTATGACGTGTTTTCATTTCTCAATTGCTGCCTTGTTCAACAGTTATGGTCCAAGCGAAAGGAATGCGAGAGAGAGCGTATTGGTAGCGGTCATTCCCGCTCGAGTTAGTTTGTCGCAGGGATTTACGCTTATTGGACACCAATTGTTTGGGCTTTTTAGTTGATTTGCTTTATACTTTCAGCATTTTGGTCATTACGTGCAGTCATCCCCGAATTAATTTTTTACCAGACAAATCTTTTTATGACCAGTGTCACATGGCGCACAAAGAAATTATAATCTTTAAAAGAACGGTTATTTCAAATAGAAATTGTACGACAATATGAAACTCTTTATCTCTATGGTTGCTAGTACCACTGCAACTGGGTCTATACCAGTGGTACATAATTTTTACGTATATCGATTAAGTCTGAAATCGACTCTTTTCATAAGACACATATGCAGTGTTGAGGCACTTATTTAATTGTCGATATATTATTAATATATTGGATATCTCTTCAACATATTATATGAGATGCGCTGGGTATATACTTATATAATTAAGGAGCGCTCGAAATTGTGGGCTCCTTATGTAGCTGTCAGCACTTGCTTCTTAACTTTCCAAAGTTACGCATTGTTGAAATAAGTGTGAAACTTGACAAAGAAAAATGCCTCAACACTCGCCTACACTGTGCTGCTAATGTATTGCTTTTTTGTTGGTGTCATTGTCGCAATCATTGTGTTACTTAATTGACCGGCTTGGTCTTGATCCGTCCATTCTATTGTCGTGTATTGTCGTTTAAGCCATATAAGCGGTCTCACGCCACTTTAAAAGTTATGAAAAACTTGCACATTTTTCACTTTCAGCTCTTTGGCATTGACTCGGCTGTACAACTTCACCCCAATTAGCGTAAAATATGCCTTTTAAAATACACCTCCCTCGCTGCAAGTCAAACTTTCTTTAGTGTGAATAAAGCGTGAAGTGCTGATTGAATTTTTGGTGACATTTATTTAGCTGTGAATATAATAATTGGCAAGAATTTAATGGCAATTACGTGCTGTTGCGGAAATATGTTTCACTCGCTTCATTAAAAATTTGAAGCAAGTGATTTCTCGTGTAAATTTTGAGCAGGGCAGAATGTGTCTGACTTTCGTTCAACGAGACGCACCAATA